CATTGTCTATCCTCTTTCCTCCTCTATAAAATGAATATGGGCTGTGTTAGATTAAGTAGGTACTTTAAGGCAGATAGAACATGTAGAACACAGGCCTCAAAGCAAAGGGATGAGTGTCATGTTCAAGCAGCAGCAGCCGAGCTGAGTGGATAGGAGGAATTGAGGAGGAGAGCAGAATGGGGGTTAGAGAAGCAATGGGGGCCAGATCCTATATGGCCTTATGGGTCCTTGTAAAATCTTTGACTTTCAGTCTGATTAAAATGAGGAGTCACTGTAGGGTTTGAGGTAGAAGATGACATAGTCTGACATATTTTTGAAGAATCACTTTAGATGCCATATTTAAGACCTTTAACAGTAATTCAGTCAATTGATGATAGCTCAGACTAAGGGGATATCAGTGGATGAGTGATAAGAAGTTGGATTATGGGTATGTGGGAAGGTAGAGACAACAGGATTCCTCATGGATTCCATGTGTGGTATGAGAGACATAGAAGTCAAGAATGACTCAGCTTTTTGCCCTGAGAAAAAAGGAGTTGCTACTTAATGAAGAAGATGGGTAGTAGAGCTTTTGTAAGGAAAGGTTAGATTTATTTTGGTGCATATTGAGTTTGAGAGGCCTATTAAACATCTAAGTGGAGATGTGGAAAAGGCAATTGAATGTATTAATTTGGAGTTCCAAATGGAGTTCTGGGCTGGAAAGATAATTTATAAGTCTTTACCATAGACAGACATCTTTCAGGATTGTTGGGGAGCAGTACAGAGAGATAGGTTCTAGAACCCTTTTTGGAATCCAATATCAGAGAATGCTCAAGTCCCTTATATAAAATGGTGCCATATTTGCATAAAACCTATGCACATCCTCCCATATACTTTACATCATCTCGAGGTATGCTTCTAAGGCCCAGTAAATGCCATATATAAAGTTGGCAACCGTATTGTTTAGGGAATAATCACACACACACACACACACACACACAGACACAAATCTGTGTATGTTTAGTACAGATGCAATTAAAAAATATTTTTGATCTGTGGTTAGTTGAATTTGGGGAAGAAAAATTTGCAGAAGCAGACCCTAAAACTATGCAGGGTGACTGGGGATGGAATTTAAAGTAATGGGACTGGATGGTATCACCAATGGAGTGAGTGTAAATAGAGAAGAGGAACAAAGACTGAGCCGTGGGGTCCTCCAACATTAGCAGTCAGGAAAATGAGGAAGTAACAGTAGAGACCAAGAAGAAACAACTAGTGAGGGGGATACCACCCAAGAGAATGTGGTGACCTGGAAGCCACACTACGAAGGCTATCTAGAAGGAATGCTCAGTTGTATCACGTGCTGTTTCTGGGTCCAAAGAGACAAGGGTGCAGAATCACCACTGCACTGAGCAACAAGGAGGTCACTGACAAGGGAAGAACAGTTTCTGTGGAGTCACGGGGGTTAAAGTCTGATCAAAGTAGATCAAAAGAGTAAGAGGGAAGAGGCTTTTAAGACAGGAAATAAAATAAAATCTTTTAAAGAGTTTTGCTGTAAAGGAGAAAAGATAAATGTAGCAACAGTTGGTAAAGGAGTGGAGTTCAGAGAAATTTCTTTCTTTTTAAGGTAGAACTAATAGTATGTGTATATGCTAACATGGATGATCCAATTATCAGAAAATAATTATATAGAGAAAGTGGGGAGCATTGTCAGAACAATGTCCTTGAGTTGTGGATAGGAGATGGGATCTACTGCATAGATTGCTTTAGTACAAAAGTATGGATTATCTTTCTGAAGAGTAAAAAGTGCAGAAACTGGAAACCAAGTAGATATACTAGTGGGAATCTGTAGAAGTTGTAAAGTCTTCTGAGGAGGGGGAAAAAAAAGAAAAAGAATACAAAACAAAATATTAGGAATCAAAATTGCTTTGAATTTCTCCATGGCAGCATTACAATCCAACAGACAAGGAATCAAGGCCTTTAAAAACCTAAGGGATGATCATTTGCAACCTAAAAATCTACATTTAGTGAAGATAGTATTTACTCTATCTTTATTTTTATGTGGTGCTGAGGATTGAACCCAGGGCCTCACGCATGCAAGGCAAGTGCTCTACCACTGAGCTGTAACCGCAGCCCATAAGTGCATTTTCAAATGTACAAAATGTGCTGGATATAATTTGCCCCTCCAGATTCTTCTCTATCCCACTTTGTGCTCTGGAAGGTATTCATACCTGTGTGAATTACCTTACTTGGATTCTCTTGTCCTCTGTCTTCTTATTGGATTTTGTCAAAGTGGGAGACACTGGCAGAAGACCAGGGGTAGCAAAAGGGAGGTCAGTGCTCTATCCCTTTACTAACACATCTCCAAAAATTTACACTAGCATTCAAAGTGTAAAATTTAGTTCTCTACTGAAATAAGGAATTAAGAAAGAAGACATGGGATTGAGGCAAAGGGAAAACCTAGAGCAATGGTGAAAGGAGACCATAGATGACAGCTTGGCATACAGAACAACCAATTCATATTAGGGCAGGCCAGAAAGCTCTTAAAGAAGATGAAATTGTTAGAAAACTCAATAAGGATTTTGTACAACTTGGACAAGAATTTGACACCAAATCAGAGTTAAGGGCATAGAAATCAAAGTAAAAGAAAACCAAGATGGTTGTTAATTTTCGATGTAAGAAAAAAAATAATTATAGCATAAGAAGAGCTTGCCAGGCGTGGTGGCACACACTTATAATCCCAGCAGCTCAGGAGGCAGAGGCAGGAGGATCACAAGTTCAAAGCCAGCCTCAGCAAATTAGTGAGGCCCTAAACAACTTAGTGAGACCCTGTGTCAAATTAAAAAATAATAAAAAAAAAATGGCTGAGGATGTAACTCAATAGTTAAGTGCCCGTGGGTCCAGTTACTCTGGACCCAGTTATTCTGCCCCCCCAAAAAGTATCTTAATTATACAGAGCATTTATACAACAAAAATTTCAAGGGAGTACTGAATCTTCCCTTTTACAGACTTTCTTATAATATGTAAGTTTCCTATGTTTGTAATGTAGAGATTTTCATGGAAGGTATTTTTCATAATAGCATCTAGAGTTGTCAGGATATTTATTCTAACATGATTTGACTATGGTCATTTGACAGAGTGGAAAGGTAGAAATTCAAAATCTCAAATAGCCAATTAACCTTTGATTTGTGTGACCTGGTAAATTCATTACCTAATTTTTCTATCCATTTCAAAGTATGAGGATGGCAAATCACAACACCTTGAATGCCTGGCATACAGTAGGCATTCATAAACAAAATTGAGGGGGAGCCCAGCTTGGCGGAACACGCTTGTAATCCCAGTGGCTCAGGAGGCTGAGGCAGGAGGATCATGAGTTCAAGCCAACCTCAGCAACAGTAAGGCACTAAGCAATTCAGTGAGACCCTGTCTCTAAATAAAATATAAAATAGGGCTGGGGATGTGGCTCAGTGGTAGAGTGCTTGCCTAGCATGCATGAGGCATTGGGTTTGATCCTCAGCTCCACATAAAAATAAAGATATTGTGTACACCTAAAACTAAAAAATAAATATTAAGGGGCTGGGGATGTGGCTCAAGCGGTAGCGCGCTCGCCTGGCATGCGTGCGACCAGGGTTCAATCCTCAGCACCACATACAAACAAAGATGTTGTGTCAGTTGAACACTAGAAAAATAAATAAATATTTTTTTTAAAAAATAAATACATATATATATATATAAAACAATAGTAACCTAAAGACTCAATTTCAACTGGGAGTCACTATCCAGCTTGCTACTACAGGAAGTCTGGCATTGTGTTCTGGTGCTTTCCCTAATCATAACAAAATAAGGAATTTTAGCTGCAGTTCAGTAGGTACATCAATTCCAGGGGTTGGCCAGATAGTAATGGTTTGAAAAATAAAGGAATAACTAGTCATTAACAATAATTAACATGCATTCTGCACGTAAAATTTTCTAGTCACTGTTCTAAGCCATTTTACATGAATCATCCCATTTTATCTTCATAATAACTCTAGGTCCTTTTTAACACCTTCTTACAGATAAAAGAAACAGACTCAGAAAGGCTAAGTGAGTTGTCTAAAGATACACAGCCAATAAACTGAACTTTGATTAGCCAGCCTCCAAAGCCTTCCAGACTTCTAACTGCAATGTTAACACATAGCAAATACCATCTTTAGCTGTGAATTTTCTCACTTGCATAACAGCTTTGTTCAGGTCATACGTTAGCAAGTGAAGTTGTTAGCATCTTCAAATATGAAATGGTATGGAAAATGTACAAAGGCCAGGTTATTTTAAGCAACTGCTCTTACAAGAGCTTTAAAACCATTATCTCTTTTGGAAGTGGGGCTCAGACATTCAAATACACTTAGTCGGTAAAAGTTCTAACAGAAAGGGAGTTATTTGGGGGCTGCTTTAGTTACTCTGTGCCTACTGCCTTAAGTGTGGGATAAACGTGTGGTGACTGGATAGATGACTCATATAATGGAGCTTTTCCAATCTCACGTGGACAATCTCGCAAAACATCAGGACCTTTCCAAAACAGTTTTCTGTCACTCAGGGGCTTGGAGGCTGGGAGAATCTGCTCCTGATGTGGGTCTGGTTTGAGGAACTCCTCGCTACTTGAGAGGGAAGAAACCCAGGATCCCAGGAATACTGCAAATCCCGGCTGCAGCAACAGCAGGGCGGCCCATTTCTATCTTGGCACAGGTATAGGCTGGGAACTGCAGCCTGAATGAACGATGGGCTCTTAATGACTTTGGTGGAATTCCGCGCCGGTTGCGGGATTTATGGACCGGACTGTAGGGTGGAAAGGAGCGCTGCTCATTTGACACACCCAACCCACTTTTCCGCGCGGGATGCGCTTCTGAACCGCGAAATCAGCGGAATACGGACTGCGGCGGATACCGGTCCAGCCCAACACGCACGCGCAGCCCCTTGGTAACCGCCAGCCCGCGGCGCACGCGCAGTCCATCCTAACTCTAGGTCAGTCGCGGCCCGGCCCGAGCCCCGCCCCCGCAGGCCCCGCCCCGCTCCCGTGAGCTGAACACCCCATATCCGGGTTCCCGCCGCTGCCGCCCCGCTCATTCAGCCTGACCGGGAGTGGTGTGGTTCCCGACCAAAATGGCGACCGTGGGGCGAGTCGGCTCGTTCGGTTCCTCTCCACCGGGATTAGCCTCGGCTTATACCAGCGGCCCCTTGGCCAACGAACTCGCGTCGGGCAACGGCGGCGCTGCAGCCGGCGACGACGAGGACGGGCAGAATCTTTGGTAACGATCCCACCCCTCCCAGGGTCCCCGCTGGCTTTCCCGGCC